CCCGAGAGCAGATAGCTCCGATCAGATGGGCTGCAAGAAAATGGACTTTCTCCTCTCTGGGCTGTAGCTAAAGCCCAGGAGAGATGAAGGACAGCCCTGAACATGGGTGAAGAGGACAAGACTTGGGGATGGAAGGAAGAAGCCCAGGGCCCAGCTCACCACCTGTGCAGGCGGTTCCAGCCTCCCTCTGCCATCCCCAGGCATTGTCTGGAGGGACTTGGAGCTGCCCCAGAGGGAACCAAACAACCCCTGTCACTCTGAGTCCAGCCTCTGCCGCGTCCAGGAGACCCCTGCTCCCACCTGGCCTCTCATTTAGCCACCAACAGGGGAGTCAGCCGCCTGCTTGGCTGCTGTTTCCAGCAAGTCACAACCCCACTCCTTCCTGGTTTCATTTTAACAGACTTAACTGTTCCCTTGACTCACAATTCCAAGGATATTCCTAGCAAGTCAGTTCCTAGGGCCTGCTTCCCTACGTCTGTGTTCTCAAGGGAGAAAATAACCTCATGTGACACACTGTCCCATCTTAGACTCCAGCTTCCTTCCCCATTTGGAGTCTGCACCAGCTCCTTTTAGCAGCAGTCTAGTTTCCATCATTTCTCCCAAGGCGTTACTTCTGGTCTAGATGTCTCCATACAAGAGCTTGTCCATCTCTCTTTATAGCAGCATAAAAGCTGCCACTGTAAATGCAGTAACGAGTGAAACCACCACAAGAACCTACGGGGTGGGGTGGGGGGTGGCTGATCATCGAGAGCCTCACACACCGTGGAGATGACCTCTGCACAGGGCGGTGGGGAGGAAACGGGGCACTGGCCTAGTTGGGTCAGAGAAGCCTCCATAAGGAAGCCCCAGCTTCCAGATCCTCACTTCTTGGATCTTTTCTTACCTAACACCTCAAAAGAATGCTTTTCCAATTCCAGGAGCGTCCGTGCCTCCCGAGAGCCCATTCAGAAAGCCTGGCACCTGTCTGAAAGCTCTTTCCCAGGGGCCTGTGCAGGCTGAGCGGTTCACAGGCCAGGCTCAGCCCCCCAGCTGCCTCCTCATACTGCAGACGGGGAACCGAGGCTCAGGGAAGCTACTGTACAGCCTTGGAGTGGAAGGGCAGGCCGAGCCCAGGCTTGCCTGTTTTAAAGCCAGTGGCCCACCCTGTAGAGCTGCTTGGAAAAGGTGGAGAGGAAACAGGGCCAGTGGGCCCCCCAACATATACCCCGAGTATATTTCAGAAGCTGTCAGACTCCCTCTTTCCTGCAAAGGGGAGGTGATTTCTCCAGACAGCACTTCTGGGTCCTGTCCTGACCATTCTAACCCTCACACATCCATCCCACACTCTCTCCTGTCCGGCAGCATTAACCTTCCCCTCACTCCGGCACAAAAGACCTCCTCAAAGTAAGGGAGATTCAAGGCCCGTGATTCCTCCGGAGACAGGCTAACAGCCCTGCCCTCTCCAGCAGGCCGCACTCACAGCCTGGGCCCACCTCTTTCCCACGGCCAAGCAGGGCAGCTGGCCTCGATGCTTCTCTCCACTGGACAGACGTCCCTTCCCGACCTGTGCACGTGTATACGCACACGCACAAGCACAAGCACGGGTGTTTGTCGTCCTGGTCTCCTCTGGCTCCTCTCTGGCTCTGGACTGCATACTCGTCCCTCTCAGGGATCAGGCCCCTGCTTACCTGCAGCCTCTGACCCCCACCTCTGTTGACAGCCGCCCCATGGGGGGAGGATCGCATACATACCTCACGCCCACCAGACACGCCAGCAGCCTTTCTTCTCGGGTAGCCTCAGTTCCTGCCAAAGCTCTGCTCACCGCTTTGGGGAGCCAGGGAAGTTCCTTTCCTTGAGGCTTCCTCCTCACTTGGAGACCAGAGCCAGGTTGTGTACCTGCTGGGGGAGCACCATCCACCTGACGGTCCTCAGAAAGCAGCAAAGGTGTGGTCAGTGCCAGAGAGCCTGTTCCCCACCTGACCCACAGCCCGTGCCTTGTCACGTGCACGCTGAATGCAGAACCGTGTGCACACGTGATCTTGGTGAAACCTCTCAACCGCCAGGCCTCGGCTTCCTCCACCTGTCACGTGGTGAGGACACGTTTCCTCCCTTGCAGGATCACCCTGAGGGTGAACAGAGAACCCCATGTCTCGTCTGCTGGTCCCAGGCCCCATTCTAGGCACTAGAGGTACAACTATCAAGATAGACAAAGGCCTCAGGCCCCCCAAGTGCCTGGTCCACAGCAGGCCCCCTGGACAACGAAAAGGATGGCAGCACCTCCCAGGTGCCCTGCAAGGTGTCCACTCCTTCTCACCCTCCCTCTCCCTCCCCACAGGGCCCACGGACCTCAGCATGAAAGGCGGGGCCTCCACCACCTCCACCACGCCCACCCCCACGCCCTCCAGCAACAGCACCAGCAGGACCATGCCCACCGCCCAGCTCAGCCCTACGGAGATCAGTGCTGTGCGGCAGCTCATCGCTGGCTACCGAGAGTCTGCCGCCTTCCTGCTGCGCTCGGCGGACGAACTGGAAAACCTCATTTTACAGCAGAACTGACCCAGCGGCACCTGGAGTGCACTACCCTCGGGAATGAGGCTGTCCCGCCCGACCCAGCTTCCTGCCTCACCAGTTGGTACATTTTGTTTTTTGCAAGAGGTGGGATCCGAGAGCTGTTTCTAGCCACACTCCAAGCACCTGAGACTTTGGGCACAAGGACACTTTTTTTGGAATCTCACCACACAGGTGCTCTGACCTGCTTGGAAGAGGCCAATGGGGCAGCTTTGGAAGGGCTGGGCTCCCCTGACAGGGCGCTGGGGCCACAGCTCTAGTTAGATCATCTTCGTGGACCCTGATGTTAGAATCCCACTCCCAGATAATTACCTTTCAAGTCTTAGGTGAGCAGAATTGCATATTTATTGAGAAAAACAAAGTGGACCCTTTCTTCCTCTCCCCTTAGTAATTTATTTTTTTGAAAATGGATTCTTTTGTGTTTGTACAGATTGCCAGTCTGTGTCTGTCTGATCAGAAGGATGTCTCCCTGTGCCCTAACATTCCATATCACTACACTGGCGCGGGCGGGGCCGCAGGGCGGGCGGCGGTGGGCAGGCGCCAGGGGCTGTCCCTCTGAGTGCCCAGCACCACCAAGCAGGAGGACCTCACCCACACCCACTGCAAAGCAAAGACAAACACACGCCCCCCTCCCCCCATTTCACAGAAGCCCCAGCCGTGGCCACCTGTATTCTACCTCACACTCCAGCGGGGGCTTTTTCCAGGATGTGCCCGAGCCTGCTCTGAATGGCTGTCTCCCAACTCCCCCACACGGGGTGTGTGCCTGGGGTGTAAGCCCGGCCCTCCCGGCTGCACGACAGGATGGAGACTGGGAGACGGGAGGCCGGTCAGCAGAGTCCCGGCCCTCACCCTGCCCAGGGAGTTGAGTTAACACTCCCCGCACAGACCCAGGCCCTCAGGCCCTTGCTGGGAAGACCCTGTTTCCTCAGGGTGAGCCTCTAGGTGTCAGGCAGCCACTGGCCAGGAGAGGCAGCTGGGCGCCCCTGGACTGGCTTGGCTCCCGTCCCCGGCCCCCGTGGTGGAAATTAAGGGACCATCATCCACCGGAGTAGCCACTTGGGTTCTAAGACCAGCCCTTCTGGAGGGACCAGTCCTGGAAGAAACCTCTCATCCCTGGAGTGTGAAAGGGGCAACAAGGAAAGGCTGGCCTGGTTTCCCTCCTCCCGATAGGCACTTCCTCTTGCTCAGTGCAATACCTACCAGTGCTGCTAAACCAGGGATTCGCCCAGACCTCAGCAGGCCCCCGGGCCTCTCCATGCAACACTCCGTAGCCATGACCGCAGCCTCCGCTGCCGCCCCTGCCCAGAGCTGGCAGAAGCCCTGTTGCCTTTCCTCCCTCAGAGCAAAGAGGCCCCAGGGAGCCAGGGCCGAGTGGACCCTGGGACGGCCACTGAGAGCCACCTGACCCCAGAGTAGGTATCCCTTCTCAAACCAGCTTCTCCGCAGCCAGCTGCCTCCTGGCACTGTGGCAGACCCCCCTCAGGAGGGGCGGGGAGGGCACTCCAGTATGGGTGTCCCACCCTGTGCTGACTCCCAGCCCCTAGAGGCTGGGGTGGTCTTTTATCTCTCAAGTGGCCTCCAACACCCCATCCCACCACACCACCTCTGCCTTGCATCTGACCCATCCCCAGGCCTCTGGTCGGGGCCAGGACACCCGAGACTCCCCCTTAGCACAGCACAAACTCCAGTGCCCACGGCCTCTCCCACACCCAGCCATCCGCACAGCCATCCTCCACCTGCTCAGTACACTCCCTGACGTTTTAATTTGTGTAAATATTTATTTTTGTGTGTGAACAATATTACAAAGTAATCAGTAGATCTTTTGCAAAATGTTACCCCAGGCAATTTGTGAAATCTTAATGTTAAAAACTGGCAGAGACAATCGCCGCCTTAGAATTCTTGGTATCAATTGCTTAACATGTCATTTCTCCTCCCAGAGGCAGTACCCAAGCCAGGCATGAACGGTTTGCTTTTCTTAGCAGCCAGGAGTGAAGGACTGGGGAAGGGGCTCCTGCGCCACCACACACGGGATTAGACCTAACGATCACATAAGCGACAGTTTGGAGTCGCGTTTTTCCGAGTTTAGGCTGCCCTAACTGATCACCTTCAGCCGACCTAATGCTGCGGTAAGAGTGGAAGTTCGTGTGTTAAAGAGAAAGGAAAGGGACGCCAGTGGCACTGGTCCCGGGGTCTCCCAGTGGCTCCCCCAGGGCGGGTCTGAGGTGGGGTCCTTCCCACTGAAGTGGCGCCAGAAGCCCTGGAGATGGCAGCATCAGGAGCGAGTCACTATGTGAAACAGGATCCCATTAGCTAGTTCAGTCAGGGAACTTGTTCGGTTTGGCTTTTGTTTTAAAAGATGCAGCTTCAACCCAGTCCCTCTCCTCCTGACTTGGAGAGTACCTGAGAGCTGGTTCTGCTGAACCTCGCTCCCACTGCACCCCCTCCCCCCAATCACCCCAGGGACAGCCTTCTCCCGAAGCCCTGCCCCAGAACCATTTAAAATCCTTATGGAGGGGAGGCCTCGGTACAAATTAGTCATCTGGGATCCAAAATTTAAAAGATAATGTGAGTAGAACACACCAATTCCAGAGTCTTTGCAGGGGCCTGATCCTGAGAGGAGAGAAGGGCAGAATCCAGAGAATGGGGATTGGTCTTAGACCAGAAAGAGTGTGGCGCACCTGAAACTCATTTACCCTCACCACTCGGACGAACGGACAGTGCACATCCGAGGACAGCAATGGAGCTGGGGGGCGGGGGGGGGGGAGGAGGGGGAATCAGGCAGGGGGCTCAGAGGGTTTTAGAGAATTTCAAACAGGTGGAACCCAGCCATCCCTATTCCCAAGGGCCACTTACGACTCCAGGGGTGGTTACAGGATTAACTACCAGTTCATTTTCAAAATGCTGCTTTGAACTCAGAGGGTTGATACATTTAATTTGTAATTTTTTGTAAAACTTTTTACAAGATAGTAAAGTATTTCACCAGAATACCAGTTTCAATCCGTCCATGGTCTGATTTTTATATAATTTAGTGGTGCTTTAGAAACTTTGTTTTTGTTGTTTCTGGGCTAAACAGCTCAATCCTTTTTCGCCTGTATCTACCTAAGACCAATGTGAACCTTTGTATTTTTGCTCCTAATTTTGGACTCAGTGAAAGTGTACTGTTTACATGTACAGATGCCCCAGTCCCTGTGTGTTCTGCAAGACTCGCTCTTGAGGAGGAAGGTGCACCTCACTAAGCTCATCTGCTTAGCAAAGCCACAAAACAAAAACCTCTCACTTTTTACCTGTTTCCACCTAAAAACAAAAACAAAAAAACCTACAACACACAGAACTCGGATTTACTGAAAAACACTTCTCTAAGCTCAGAAAAATCTCTGTGCAAGTAGATGGCCCGCGTGCATCTGTATGTGGTCCATTTAGAAGCAGGGTCGGGACAGAGACCTCCCACGCCATTGGTGGGTGACTGCACGGGCAGGTGAGCAGTGAAGCAGGACTTGGCTGCAAAGTGGTGAGTGGAGATAGTTCTCCCAGCAGCCTGGGGTAGGCAGGTTGTCCTCAGTCCTCTGGCATCACTCAGGTTCTGGGAGAGCGTGAGTTCCCTACCTGGGCGAGACTTTAAGTCTCCAGTGCAGATGGGATGAGCTGTCTTCAAGGTTCCCCTGGAGACATCACCTCTGGCGAGGGGCAGAGGGCTCCAGACGATAAGCATATGGCACTTAAGGCAAACAGTGGATGGCACCAACTTTTAAAGGTGACTCTTTATTACTTAATCAGTGGCTTCACCTCTAAATTATATTTTTACAGATATGCACCTATGCAACTTAACGTGGCTCTTCTAAGCAGGTGAGAACTTCCTCTTCAATGCTCTATAAAAATTCTTTGTGTTCTGTATAGTGAGTTTTTCCAGTAAATGTGGCTCAATATTTTAATTCTTAGACTGTGTCTTCTCTATGTGATGCAACTAAATTCTGTTTTGTTTGTGGAATGACTAGCACAGGCCAACTCCCTCTCCCCTCACTTAACAAAAGACCAATGAGCTGTTAATCGAGCTGTTTCTCCATGGTATTACTTGCTAAATGCACTGATTTCATAAGTATGTGGAATCCTTTTTCTTTTGAATCTGTATATCATATATAAGACTGAATCTACTTAATAAACACTGAATAACAAACTGAATGTGTTCTTTCCACTTGTCCTCTTCAACAGCCACACTGCCAGCTAGAATTCTTCCAAACCTAGCTGGGCACTGAAACACCTTTCCACTAGTAGATTCCACCTTTGCCCGGCCCAGCAGCGAGCACACGGAAGGTCCTTGGTAAATGTGTCATGCCCTTCGGCACCTAGCCCGCTAGAAAGGGAAGGAAATGCATCTTCCCTGGTGCTCGCCAAGCGCCTGCGGGCACCATGTTGAAACCTCACCGTGACCTTCCCAGAGAGGTGCCCTTGCCTCCACTTGCAGATGAGTCAGCAGGGGCGCACTGGGGGCTACCTCACCTAAATTCAGCCAGTGGCCAAGCCAGGTCTGAACTCAACTGTTTGCCTGTAAACCGTGCGCATCCCACTCCCCAGTGTGCAGCTCTTCAACCATCAGAACCAAAGCTTGGGAAACAGGAAATGCCATCCCTGGTCCTGAATCTTCACTACTTGACATTCCACTTGACCCCAAACCCCAGATCCTGCTTTGAAGGGAACAAAAAAGCTGCTTTTTCCAAAGACGTCTACTTGTACACTTACTTTTTTCATCCTATACATTATCATTTAGGTTAAACTTTAAAGGAAAACTTATAGGAATATGGGTAGGAACAAAACTGGTTGTCATGAGTTTAAAAACAAATTTGACCGAGTTAAATGCATAAACATGTTTTACTGTTAAAATTGTGCCTGTCACACAATATGGAAGTTGTTTTCAAAACATTTATTTTTCATCACGGCAGAATAATCTTTTTAAAATAGAAATTCTGTGCAACTGCCAAATACATAAAATAAAAAGAGAGGAGCCAATCGTTTGAACACCCCAGGAGTGCACTTTGGGGCTAAGATTCAGACCAATAGTAGTAAGAACAGCCGAAGCAGGGAACCTCTCAGCACCCTATCTTTCCATGCGCACGTGGGGACCATGGGCAGCAAATCCTCAGTACTACCATGAAAAGGTCTGTCCTACTGAATCCACCGCTGCTGAGAATCACCAAGGGACCACACACCCCAACAACCAGGACAATATCTACAGAATCCAGACCAGCCACACACAACCACACTGGTCGACTGGGACAGCACTTACCTCGGATGAAGCCACAGCTCCGCGGGAGCACTGGTATCCTGGGACCGGAGAAGGTGCTGGAGGACAGAGAGGCACTGCTGGATCCCCGGCTGGCTTCTTTAATGGAGCTCCCCACCACGGCTGTCAACAATGTCCAGGACATCAAATGGGAATGCCCCTTAGAGCAGGGAAAGCAGATACACAGTGACCAAACAGGGATCCTCACTCCACTCTGTGGACAGGGAAGACATGCATGCACTACAGGGAAGGAAACCTGGAGCAACACTGTGGTTCACCTAACACACTGACCTCTTGCTGGCCATTTACCCAAATTATACAAAAGAAAGGAAGAGAACTCCGTTTTGAGAGTACAAAACTGGTGTGGTTGCAAACGTCACAAAGGCTGGTAAACTTAGGAAACCAGTGTACACAACAGAAGCGGCCATGGTTTTATTTTCAATTCTGACCTTTTAGAGATCTGAATTTAGATTGTGTTTCATGACGTCGTACAGTAAATAAATTCCAGTTCCCAGAAATGCTAGCTAAATCCTATCATACATAAATATACCATCACAGTCCAAACTAGGTAAAGGGAACATCTTCAAGTCCTGGTTTCTGGCTCACTTCAAGAAATATTAAAAACAAAGATCTTTCATTTGTAGAGCCCGGATACATGGAGACAATTATAATGGGACCTCACTTAAAGCAGCATAACAAACCTTGACAAGTAAAAAAAATTTAAGTACTTTAAAATGTACTACGGAAGGTTAGTAGTTACCGAAACTTAAGTCATCTCTCCTCTCCTTGATCTTTTGAATAAACTCAGATTAGGTTTATCATCAGTCAGAGGCTCTTAAATGAGAGGCCCCAGATGCCTAAGGAGCTCTTGCACCCTGAAACAGTGCACACAACTTACAGCTCAGTGTGAACGCGCATTCCTGGAGAGAGGGCCCAGACCTTCCATCAGGCTTCCATCGTGTTCCCATAAAGGCCAAGAGCCACTGCACTGGCAGCTTTTTGTTACTCTCCTTTAAAAACAATTTTTTTTTATTGATTTCAGAGAGGAAAGGAGAAGGAGATAGATAAATCAATGAAGAGAATCATTGATCGGCTGCCTCCTGCACGCCTCCTATTGGGGATGGAGCCTGAAACCCAGGCCAGGAATCCAATCATGACTTGGTTCATGGGTCAATGCTTAACCACTGAACCACAAAGGCCAGGCTCTCCTTTTTCTTATACAGCTTCTGTCTACACCTTTTGGTAAAGACGTTCATTCCAGGCTTTCAAATTGATCCACAGAGCCCTAGCTGGTTTGGCTCAGTGGATAGAGCGTCAACCTGCAGACTAAAGGGTCCCGGGTTCAATTCCGGTCAAGGGCACATGCCCAGGTTGTGGGCTCGATCCTCAGTGGGGGGTGTGCTGGAGGCAGCCGATCAATGATTCTCTCTCATCAGTGATGTCTCTCTCTCTTCCTCTCTGAAATCAATAAAAATACATAAAAAAAAATAAAATCAACAAATTGATCCATAGAGATGAGAGGAAGCATTAGGCACTATCAAGGTTTGGTTTCAACTACTAACCAGTTAACTGCCACATGTCCAAATCAAAAACCATCCCCACACACCACGGTATTTTGAATTTGATTGCATCTATAGACACTAATGGCGTACAAAGTGTTAATCTCTAAGGTCATAAAGCCCACCTTGTCACTTTAAACGGTGCCCATACAGGAGAGCAACACAGCCTGTGCCTCCTCCTCTCAGGGCACAGGGCAGGCAGATGCTTGGCCCCTAAAGCCCCTGATGCAGGAGGGCTACTCTATGAAGCACACACACCCCTCAGGCAGGGTCTTTCTAAAGAGCAGGTTGGACATAAAGCTAATGACACCTCAAAAAGGCCACTGAGGTTTTCATATTCTGAAACACCAGGTTTCCTTGTCCTCTGAAGGAAACGTCTCCACTACCAAGCACTCCACCTAAACACGGTGCTGTGTATTCAACGATAGCATGAGGCCACGAGCCAGATGTCCACTCACAGGCCCGCACCTCCACAGCTCCCCTCTGGGGTGAGGGTCAAGCAAGAGCCATATAGATCCTATTATAAATTCATGTAGTGATTGCCTGGCTTGGTGCATTTAACCGTCTGGAGTACTTACTATGTGCCAGGCCCTAATAACTTTATGAAGTAGGAGCTACCATCCCC